ATTTATAGCATTAGAATTTTCTCCCTATTATCCTCCAGAGTGCAACCAACTGATCACTGGTCTGGCAATGTGATAGATGTTGGTATCCAGGATCCCTACTGTATTGAAACAAACGTTTTCACTCAAATCCCGAGACATACAAACTCACAACCAACTGCCAACTGACTAGAATTAGACAATCGAGTGGCTGGACCTCCATGCATTGGTCATTATCAAACACCTGGAACCGTACCAAACGAACAAGAATCGAGCGCGAAGAAGTTATTTGGTCTACACTAGCTCGTGAAAAAGATATTAGATATTGGAATCATTAGACTGCTGTAATTCTATCCAATGCGGCAGTCATTTGGGATTTCTTTGTTACGCAATTCGAGCTAGTACATTTGTCTCAAAATTTTAGGGTTTCTGGGTATCATTAGCAACCGCATCATCAGTCCGGATGGGATAAGTTGGAGACCATGTGGCGACTACCGAGCAATAAACGTAGTAACACGTTTCGATAGCTATCCCATCCGCCACATACACGACATCACGGCATCACTCAAGGGCACGACTAATTATTTTAAGATTGATCTGTTACGAGCATATCATCAGATCCCAGTCTCGACTCCTTTCGGTACTGTTTGAGTTCCTAGGAATGCCATTCGGATTACGATTGTTGCTCAAACTTTCCAAAGTTATATCGATATCATAGTTCGAGACTTCGATCTATGTAGATGAACATTATCAACATCTTACATTCTTACTCCAACGCCTTTCGTATAATGGAATAGTAGTCAACCCAGGCAAATGTGAACCGGGCAAAACAGAAATAAAATCGTTGGGTCACATCACTAAGCAAAAGGATAATCTAACTGGCGTAGACAAAGTACTTACAATCATGGAGTACACGGTACCGTCCTCACTCAAAGAACTGAAGGCTTTTCTCGGTTTGGTCAACTTCTACCGACGTTTCATTCCTCATGCTGTAGAACAGTTACGAACATTAACCGACTTACTTTGCGGTAACTCACGTAAATTAGAGTTCAACGATCCCGCATGTACTGCATTTTCTGAGATTAACATAACTTTTGCTGAAGTCACGCTTCTCGCCCATCTTGGCCCATCAGCCACGCTAGTATAGCGGTTGATGCATCAGATTTTCCTAAGTGAGCCGTTATGCAACAGAACCTCTCTGGAGGTTGGCAACCTCTCGAATTTTTCTCACGACGCCTTACTCACACGGAGACGAGATACAACGCTTTTAGTCGCGAAATGCTAGCAGCCTATTGTTCCATCAAATCACGACAGACCTTCATCACGTTAAAGGCGAGTTCCTGATGCTCTGTCACTTATTTCAAGTGAATGTAGTTAATTTACTCGTTCTCGATCTTCCTGCCATGGCCGCTGCATAAGTAAATGACCCCTCCTGTACAGAAGCACAACACTCTACACACCTTAATTGCCAGGAAGTATCAATAGCTACCACCTCAGATACTATCCCGTGTGACAACTCTGCTGGTTGACCCCGACTCATTGTACCATCTGCTCATAGTCGTCTCGCCCTCGATGCCCTTTCATGGATTGTCCCAACCAGTTATCGCAGCCACCTTACGTCTCATCGTTTCACGGTAAGTCTGGCCGACCAGGAATATAGTCGTCCGTATATGGGTAGGGCAATGCTTACAATTTCGACGATAAAAAGTGCACAGGCACGAAACCGCCCCAATTGGCACATTTGCTACGCTCCATTCTGGCTTCGATCATGTCCATCTTGACATTGTATGACCACTGCCACCACAGAATGGGTATGATCCCAAACTCACGGGCATCGATCGCTTCACAAGATGGCCCCAAGCTATTCCCATCACTTCTATTACAGTGGAAACAGTTTCTCACCGCTTCGTAGAACGATCAATAGCGCATTATGATTGTTCCTCAGCTGTCACAACTGACCGAGGACAACAGTTCGATTCCGAATTATTCTCCTCTCTAACCCGGCTGCTTGGTACGGAGCGCATACATACTACCGCTTACCACCCAGCTTCAAATGGTTTAGTTGAACGGTTTCATCGCCAACGTAAAAGTGCTCATCACGCACATGACAAGGAAAATGGGTACGAAACCTTACAGCTTGTCTTCTTAGGTATCAGAACGAACTTAAAGGCAGATATTAAATGTTCTGCCACTGGACTGGTATACGGAATAACACTGCGTCTGCCTCGGGAATTTTTCACACAACGGAGCAGCGATAACTTCAAAAAATCAGACTACGGCCAACGATTGTCCGAATTTATGCGAATACTACCTCTGGTGTCAAGTCGGGTAAAACATCGACAGGTCGCTTTCCCTCGCGAGTTATCTACCTTTCGCATGTTCTCATACGAGTCGATTCGGTAAGCAGACCTTTGCAATAACCTTAGGAAGGGCCCTTTCACGTGCTTTCTCGTCATGATAAGACCTTCAAAGTTGATTGACATGGCCATGTCGAGATCGCCAGGATTGATCGACACAAGCCAGTACACACCGATGACAGTACCCTACTTGATAATCCGAGACCAAATGCTAGAACTATCAAACCTACTAGCGGGATCCTTAAAGCTACTTCGAACCTCACGATAGGTAAATCGGGGACCTCATTCTCAGATCCAAATCTACAGCACGCGTCGTCTGCACTATATACGGATGCGACTCCGGTCTCACGTTCTGATCAGCAGATCACGACGCCCTTGACTTCGAATCAGATCGCTGGTTCACGAGGTAAGCACGGCGCTGCCGTTTCGCGTTCTGGTAGCCGCGTACGCCTACCGTTTTGTTTTCTCGAATGACCACACAGGCAACAACCGATCCGTGATAATACACTATTCTCGTACTACTCACTTTATGGTCAAGTAAAGTTTTCAGTGACTCAAGCCGTTAAACATCATGCCATTTTCTTTTTTTGAAATTATTTGAAGAATTTGTCAGTTTGTAAAACTGTACGTCTTATCATGTCAATTTAGTGTCGAACGACGATATTTTCATTTGCACTTGTATTTTGTCCGAATCACGTCAAAATAAACACTTCGGTCGATTTCGGTATTTGGGAAATATGGATACGATAACATTAACGGAGCATTTAATTTCATTAACAGCTAAACTAAATGTCAGTTATATTCTTTCACAAACATAGTAATAAATGATAACTGATTTTGCTTCCGCGTGCTGAATAAAGAAAGATCATTGTTAGTTTCTGTATATGAGATGTAACTAGTGATTTACTGTTCTCATAATTTCAACAATCTCACAGTTATTGGACTCCCAATGATTTTGGAGCGGTTTAAAAGTTTTTTCGTAGGTTAAGTCCAAATCTAACTCTTAGTATTTTTTCTTATTCAGCATAAACATCATATGATTTTGACTACTGATGAATTTAGCTGAAATACATCCACTGTTAACTGATACCACCAGAATAGCAGTAATGGGGAGAATTTAAAACTTGATCTCGCCAATTTTGAAAGAAAAGGTTCTATCCCCTTGTTAAGACGGCAGGTTTTCCTCAGAAACCGGTAAGTATTGGTAATTCAGCCACATCAACTCATGCAATAAAATTTACAGTGAAAATGTAACCTGGCAAGATATTGCCATTTTAGTTAGTAGAACTAATTCGCAGAAATGTTATTTCAGGTAAACAGGAAGTCATAGCATGCACATCACTAGGTAGTTTAAAGATAACCTTGTGACTAATACGTTGGAATTTATACAAACCGAAGAGCCCGGAGGTACTTTTATGAAGATGTGAACGGTACATTCTACAAGGGTGACCAATGACATGCATATCTCTACATATTCACAATTGAAGATCGACTTGTGGATGAATTTTCCATAGATTGTTTGCATCCACGAGAAATTCAAACAATTAAAAATTTCTCATTTACAGCAACGTATTTGATCGAATTTTTGCACGAAAGCATAAAGCAGATCAAAGAATGTTCTGGCAGATGACAGTCAGAATTCTCATTACCCATCAAATGATAGAGAATGATGCGAGTGAAATGGTAGCAGACTAGATCAGCTGCTTAATCACTGTTCTTAGACTTGTTTGCCACAATATGGTGGGTGAAGCAACCTCTGGATACAGTGAAAATATAGTACAGCTAGTTTCCAACGAATCGAATGTACGTGAGAAAACACTTTCCTTTCGATCGAAAATAAAAATGTGTCAATGAATTCGAGAGCCTATTTATTTAAGTTAGCATGCAGTGGAATAGTATAGTATCCTGAAGCAAACTATAGTAGACCTCATAAAGACTTGATCGTGACATAGAAAAATGCAAAGCAAACACTAACCTCCAAAATCCTGGATGACAGTATGAGGATTGGAAAAAGGGCGAAACTAAAACTTAAAACTACTTTTCTACTAAGCGATAAGAGAACGAAAAAACGTTATGTAAAAAATGTTACTCAGGAATACATTTTTCGTAAACCACCACATATGAAATTGATTGTTCATTAAAAAGACTCTCACAGTTGGCGTCAGTTGCATTATGAGAAATATATATCCCATATCACTGTTGAGAACTGATCCAGGTTGATATTCACACATAGTGGTTCCTGACTTTCGGCCGACTCAATCAGGAATTTCAAGTTAAAACTTCTAAATGTAGAAGAGATTAACTTTGAATTTGTAAGGGAAGTAGAAAACGAACTATTTTACAGCGAATACAATTAAAATGTTCCTTTGTTAGTTAAAATCCTTGTAATTGTTTTAAGTATCGGCAAGGTCACTTAGATTCTACCGGCCTATCAGCTGTTCTCAGTTTCTATCACCAAAACAGCTGATTGTCATTCGTGGCGTGTAGCTTACCATTCAGACGGAAAAAACTGAAAACATAATAAATGTACAAATTGAGGCTTATAACCCTTATTCACAAGAAGAAAATAATACATTTGCCTCAGAACGTCTAGGGCAGTCCTGCGACCACATGCAAAGTTATTTGCCTTAGTAGCCATATTATTACTAAATCCCAAAGTTCTCAAGCATGATAGATAATGCTACTTCAGAAAATGTGCTAAGTAGGTTTCATATCTAAGTGTCTCTAATTTCTAAAGTCCCTAATCTTAAGTTGTGCGGTCGAAGCTATGGTTCCGGTGTCCTGCAATACATATGTCGGTTCATTCTCTCACAGCTTTCTAAAGTCTATAATGGAATAGTCGATTATATAGATGAAACTAGTATCGGGACACCTAGAAATGATAGGGCTGAAGGGAATAAAGCATTAGTCAAGGTATTTTGTCTACTTGATAAACTCATTTCTTTAGGATAATTGTAGTGACGTCCGGGGAAGTTCTCAATATGATAAACTAACGTTAACCATTGAAACACTTGTTGTTGGAGAAAATTGTTTAGAACACTGTGGAGACAATCAGCTCCCCGTTTATGTTATGGAACAATGGACAATCCAACTTCTTCCTCAAAAGTAAGTCAATAATACTCTTACTGTGCTCTCACTCTTATTTAATTTCATGTTATTACTTTATACCTCGTGTGTCCAGATTTTTGTAACTAAAGGAATGTCACCTGAGTTCACAAGCTATAGCGTTAAATTCTAGATACATTTAATCTAATAATATTAACTGTCTCGTTTAAAATTTTCAGTTTTAAAAATAAAGGGACGTCTATTTCTGGCTATCAGACCGAGCTCTTGGATTACATACGAACATCTCCACTAATGGTTGCTGTCAAAGAACCAGGTCGTGCTCGAAAGTACAAGATAACTCACAGGTTAGCATATATTTTCTTCATCTAAAAAGTATCCCTGTATTTCGGAACTATTAACTCCATCCTTATTTGTCTTCCTTTACAGATCCTATGTATGCGATCGCATGTCCCGTGTGGGTGATTCTTTCCTCATGGATGCATCAGATATATTGGTTATGGACTGTTTCAATGATATTAATACAAAAAATCAAGATGATGATAATGACGGTAGTTCATTTTCGAAAATAGTTCGCCAGATGGATGGTTCTGAAAGCCCCATCAAACGAGTTTTCACACCTGTATGTATTAATGAAAAGGAACTTCTGCACATAAGTGTTGTAACACTAAAACATCTTTCTCAACAGTTTCTCGGTTGTCCACTTTGTCTAGATTCAAATTACCTAAAAAATAAAGATAACTTTACTATGCCTAATCTTGCTAGATGTCTTTCGCCTGAAACTCTTGTAGACTTGGATGTTTGTAAAAAAAGCACTACACCTGTTTCGCATGTAACCCATGGAAAACCTAATGTTCATCCACCAAACTTTCTTAATTTACCGAAAGGCTCGTCGACTGAAGAAGTTATCAGAAGTCCTATTGTTGTCATGACGGATGCAGAGGATAATTTGATGCAATCTTCATTAAGCAACCATTTTTACAATGTTCTACTACCTTGCTCTTCTTGGGATTGTACTGAATCAGGTCACTCGACTTTAACAAAAAAATCATCTCGTTTAACAGAATCCAATAGAATAACCCAGGTTCCTCTAGAATCACCTCCCCGTAAACAGCAACGTATCAGTTGTTACACTCCTGATTTTACATCCAAAACGAAAGATTCAGACGACGTCAATGAATTGCCCACTTCTATCAGCCCAACCATTAACAAAAATCCAAGCGTCCAACGTGAAGGTTGTATTAATAAAGTAATTGCAGAATTTACGCTACTGAATGTCGAGCGTGACTTAATTATGAATTCAATCGGCAATTCAGATCCCAGTTCTATGTGTCTACCATCTGTGAATACATGTTTTTCTTCTTCATTTGATGTTCACAGAGATTCCATACAATGTAACCAATTCAATTCTAGTATGGCTAAAAAGCATGACCATGCATCTGAATCCCAGCTAAGTATAGATTCAGAGAATTCAGTGTTATTAACATCATCAAGTGCTAGTTTTCAACCGGTGCCCAGACTAAGCAGGAGACGAAATGCCACTTCTGTCTCTGTCTGGTCTTCATCAACATTTCACAATGATGGCACTCCGTTTTTCAATCGTCGTACCGGATTACCTTTACAATCATCCCCGGTAAGTCGGTTGTTTTTGAATTCAAGTATGTTTTCATTTTCTCCTAGTAGTTTGCTTACGTCCATATAAATTATTAATCTACATTTTCCGTATATGATATATAGAAGTAAATGTGTCCAGATTACAAGTGTCCAACTTTAAGTGTTCCATTTTTTGTGAAACTACTAAATGAGCAATGGTAAATGTAGACTTCAATATTGGAAATATAAGCATTTAAAGAGGTTGTTAACTTCCATTGCTTTACTAAACATATGATACTGGTTGTTTTATTACTAAGTTGGGATCATTAGCCAACTTATCATCGTATTTTCTAAATTAACATCAAAGCTATTCATTCATATAGAACAATGCTATCCAACATAAAACAACTTGACCAAGATTTAAATCTCGCATACAAATTCAGTTAATTCATAAATATCTGAAAAATAAGTTAGTTAGTTTAATTAGCTTAAACAATATCAATTTTTAAATATCAAAATTGTTGGTTATCACTATCAATGTTCAAGTATAGATAAAAATTTCGAAGTTTCTTCATTGTATTTATTTTCCGATTACTTCATCAGTTGAGGTGGTTGGGACATGTGTTACGAATGCCTAACCACCGACTGCCTCGACGAGCTTTTTTTTGTAGTGTAGGAGTAGGTTGGAAGAAGGTTAGGGGCGGCCGAACCAAAACATGGCAGAAATCCATGAAGTCATTAACAAGTGGACTTAGCCATGTCGGTAATTGTCGACTACCTGGTTGGGGTCCGTGAGATGATAATAATCGATGGTTAGAGACCTTGAATGACATGGCTCAAAATCGTTTGCAATGGCGCCGGTGCATTTATTGTTTGTGTTCTCCCAAATCCTAATCTTCTGGGTTCTTCAACACCTCTAGTTTTGACTTTCTAAACTTTTCTCACTGAATCCTACTTCTTGAATAATATCTTCTAATCCTAACCTCTCCGATTACTTCTAATACATTTACTACCTCTTCTACTATTGGATTTGAATTGACAATTATATCTCTGTGCTGATGTGGTATGGCAACATGAACTGATGTACTTACGTACGAAGTTCTACGTTGCATCTCACTGATTTTCAAATTATTGTGTTGTTTATTTGGTATTTCAGTCTACTATTAGTATTTCGACTATTATTATTATTATTATTATTATTATTATTATTATTATTGTCTAAGAATGATTACAATCTCATCTGAGTTCATTTTATAGTATCGATTATTATCTAAATAGCTGTAATGTATATTATGTAACTAAATAAATATAAGTAAAATATATGAAATATTCATAGAATGTTGCCATTGTTTTCCTCTCATAAGAGAAATTATTTGATTTTTGGGAGCTGTCGTTTTTAAAATATCACTAAATTGGCTGACAAGTTATTACAAAGTTCTAGGTTTATGTAGTAATTTATTCAGATTTTTTTCTCCTTAATAATTAAATGATCATAATCTCAATCATTGACGAATGTTAAAAGCTCTTTTTTTGTAACTACGAGCCATATCTTTTGGTGTTAAAGCTAGTAATATTGTTTAGATTCGTAAACCTAGGAGCAAGGTAAATCAAGATTTCAACTTCCAATTGATGTATTTTAGTTAAAGCTTCTTAAAAAGCCTTAGTTTAATGCATCATCTTGTCTGTAGTTACTATGAATTTGAATGTAATTTCCCATTGCAAGGATAACTCAATTATAATCAACATAGAACCTGGCACAAATATATATTTGAAATCATCAATCAATCATTGTTAGACCACCATTAGAAACCTGGAAGCACTGGACAGCCGTTTCGTCCTAGTATGTGTAAAAACGCAAACCTGCAAAACTGCCACCAATATATATATATATATATATATATATATATAAAGACTCAACTTCCGACTTTTCATCAGTACACTGAAAATAAATTGATAAGTTTAGTATCAAAAGTGTTGAAGCTGTAGTAGTAGGAACAATAATAATTAGTCAGACTAAAATCTGACAAAATGAAAGGAAAAAGTAGAACTGGACCTCTATATCTAACGAATTTTTACTTCATCGTGATTAATTCTAAGTCACGTTACTCAATTTTACTAAAAATTCAAAGATCAATTAAGTTTCAAAGCTTTCTATTATCGTTCATATGAATGAATGTTGAAAAGCAAACAATACACAAATTTTAAATAGTCACTGTCACAAAATAACTAATGACTACTTGACTAATAGTTAAATCAAATAACTTTTTTTTGATTAATTATAAATAATGAATGAAGATTCATCAGATTAAATGTATGTGATAATTTGAAAATTCAAATTGTAGGAGTTAGAAAGAGAGTAAATGCAACTCTACTGCGCTGTGATCAGTTCTATATCATGTGATCTAATATTTTCAAATCATTGGTCACAGTAATTATGCATACATACCGGTCAAGTGTAGTCTATGCATGCGTTTAACACAGTTCAATTCAATAACTTCATCGACTGAACTGAAGTGATAAATTGATTTGACTGCTCTCTTAGCGTTATTCTAGCTTATTTCTACAGATGTTTACATTACAAATCGAGACTGATGGTTGTTCAGCATCCGTATTGCATATCCGGATAACCACAGTCGATCACAGAAACTCATTGATGCTATCATAGTGTATACTTTACATGATCCTTACATCATGCATGCTAAGTTGGTTTGCACTAATCTTAACTTTGGATCATTATTTAATAACTTTTTTCAACTACTAGTTGTAATTTTTCCTGTCTCGACAAGCTATGTTTTGTGGTTTAGGAGTAAGTAGGAAGAAAGCTATGGGCGGCCGAACCAAAACATGGCACGAATCCACGAAGTCACTGACAAGTGGACTGAGTCATGTTGGTAGGTGTCGACTACCTGGTTGGGGTCCTCCAGACGATATTAACCGATGGTTAGAGACCTTGAATGATGTGGCTCAAAATTGTCTGCAATGGCGCAGGTGCATCCACTCTTTGTGTTCTGCCAAATCCTAATCTTCTGGATTCATCAGCACCTCTACCTTTGTCTTTCTAACTTTATCTCACTGAATTATACTTCTTGAATAATATCTTCAAATCCCAATCTTTTCCATAAGCAGTAATTCTTCTACTATCTCTACCACTATGGGATTTGAATTGAAAGTTGCGTCTCTGTGCTCATGTGGTATGGCAACATGAATTGATGTACTTACGTACGAAGTTCTACGTTTTAACTGACTGTCTGACTCTAAGTTTCACTCAAATATGATTTAACGTTAATGTGTTAGTATCATCACATGATTTCGCTTGAACTAATAAATAAAGGTACGTTTTTCCTAAATTCTTATACATATAGCTTGCATATTATTCTCCACAAAGAAAAATGCTTTCAACTGGGAATTGTTCAGTAATTAGAAGTTGGCTTTATCATCAACTGTTAAGCCGTTGCTTGAAAATGTTGTTTTATACTTTATCTCCTAGTATTCTAATATATTTTGATTACTTATAATTTTAAGAATTTACCAGCAATTTTGATGAAGTGTTTCATACACCTTGCTCTCACTTGCTACATACTTTTAACAACCAGATTGCAAGTTCAAATCCTATTCCCCACTTGTTTGAACTTGTTCAGTTGGGTAGTATGTCATTATTCTTCTTCAATTAAAAAAGAAATTGTAGCTCAATGCAGACTACTGATTTACGTACTACTTGGTGAATGAGTTCCACATCTTTCATTGATTTACTGCTATCGTCTATCGTTTATTTCTCTTTCCCCATTGTTAATAATCACATCAACATTTCGTAATATTTTTGTGTAGTTTGTGTATAAATAAATAAATAAATTGCATACTTTTTGTCAAAAAAAAAATAGCGCATGTCATTTTACTGGGATTAATTTTAGTGTTATTATTATTATTTTTCTAGCTAGCTATTCTATGTATTCACAGCTTTTTTTGGTAAGGAAAAGGGAAGGTTGGCAAGACACTGGAACAACTATTTACACACTAGTATAAAATGTAGAACAGTTTCTATAAATAACATATATAGAGTTTAAGTAATTTCTCAGTCATAAAAACTATTATATATATATATATATATATATATATATATATATATATATATATCATTAGAAAATAGACAATGGCCTGGTTAATGGATAAATGTATTCAGAAAAAACTTATGTATAGTGTATGTATAGCTTTTATTTTTCATAAGTAAGTAATATGTGTAGGCTTTATTCCTTTAACGCTCAATGTTGTTTCACCAACTCTTATGGCTGTTTAGACTTTTACATTAATGAAAAAGTAACGGCTATTTTATGTGACTTATTGTTTGATAGAACTTATGTAAATGCTTATTATGCCAAAAATTATTTTTGTCCAGCAGGTTGAACAATTAGGCATACTACGCCGTTAATACGATGTAGGAAAGGTATGTGAGTCATATATGTTAGACTAAATAGGTGTATCTTCATTCTTACTTTGATTTAATTAAACCATCAGGTTTGCAAATCATGGTTCGTGTGAATAATTAACTCAGTTGTGAACCGACAGTAACTCGGTTTACTAGAGTGTGATGACTACCAAGCTGAGATTAGATTGAAAGCTGGTTATAGTAGTGACTGAACACGGAATCAGTTCATAAAGGCTAGCTCTTGATGTGAACCTGCTTAAAATCCATAAAATCTTGAAATGAAAACGCATTTGCCAATCTACATTTGTTCATCACCTGAAACTTACTCTATCTCATCTAAACTATCAGAAGCAGAAAAATTGTTATTATTAAAACAATCTAAAGCGGTAATGGGATATCTATTACCTATCTTTATTAACGTTTAAAAAGTAAATAGAAGTACTTTGTAAATAAATTGGGTAAATCCAATTACTTGGTTGTTTCTGATAAAATATTGTTTACTTCATGACTGTAAAATTGAAACGTTCGAAAGGTATTTCAACTGATGAGACACAAACCAGATAATCGACACCCTTTCTTTTTTATTCAAGAATAATGGTAACGGTTTGTATTTTTGCTTCTAGTGATATATTAGATGAATCTATCATTTGTCTGAATAGAGGCTTAAGAGAAATATATACCAACCTGAGCTACTTTTCTATGTTATCATCATACTAGTTAAGTTTGAAAAATACAGTAGGTTGGAGGAAAGGGGTGGCCAGACCAAAACATGGCAGAAATCCACGAAGTCACTGACAAGTGGATTGAGTCATGTTGGTAGGTGTCGACTACCTGTTTGGGGTCCGCGAGACGAAAGTCACCAATGGTTAGAGACTTTGAATGACATGGCTCAAAACCGTTTGCGATGGCGCATGTGCATTCATGTTCTCTCAAATCCTAATTTTCCGGATTCGTCAACACCTCTACCTTTGTCTTTCTAACCTTATGTCACTGAATTATACTTCTTGAATAATATCTTGGAACCCTAATCTTCTCTATTACCAGTAGCACTCCTACTATCTCTACCACCATGGGATTTGAACTGACGATTGCGTCTCTGTACTAATGTGGTATGACGTCATGAACTAATGTACTTCGTACGAATTTCTATTTTGCAGTTGACTGACTGACTGAAAAATACAGAGTATGAAGATACTTCAGTACGAGCTTACTCTTCTCTGAATATCAAAATATGGAATCGTTTACCTAAAAATGTTTAACAACTTTCCAGTATCCAATCATCATTATCATTATTGAATCAATTATTTCGATTATGTAATTCATTTAATTTTTTTTAAATATCTCTCTTGTTCATCTCATATTGATATTAGGTTCCTCTTAAAAGAAGTACAAGTGGAAAATTCGATTTTGATTTATCATTGAATCGTATGAAAACATCTAAAAGGTAAAAATTTTTAAAGTGGATTCTCTTGTTTTTACATTCTATCATCATGATTGGTTTCTTTTCTTCTGTTTTATTTTACATTAAAACTTGTTCAATATAATTTGAACAACATGAAAGAATCAGGCAAACAGAACATTAGGTTATATATTACTCAGCACCCAGACAGACAGACAGTAGAGTTAGTTGTGGAGAGAAGAGAGGTATGTGTGGGTGTAGGAAGGATTTGATTTCGACCAATTTGGTCTCGCGTGCTGTTACGGGTATGAGGGCGGTTATCACTTCCCGGCTGCCCAAACCGTGGAAGGTTGTTTCTTGAGGAACCTGAAAAGGAAGGTAGATTAGTGTTGGTATTGGAGACCTGGGTGCGTGACCGCAGAGCTCAAGGGACAACTGCTTGAGGCCGGACACGCACGGCCTTTTTATGAAAGGTTTTTTGAGTATTAGCTCCGCTCTTAAAGGCCCTTAGTGAGAACCCTTACCGACGGAGACGGAAATCCGTGAGGTAGGGTGAGCTGTGACATTTTTAGGGTCGACCTTTTCTAACCCTTCCTTCCTTGTGAGAAGGCAGAATCGCTGTAGATGCTGGTTGTCCGAGGGAAACACCTTACTGCTGTGACACCCCTCTGCAGTCAGCAGTACGACTTCGCCCTCAAACCGTGAGTAGCTCCTTTTAGTCTGATCGTTCTCCAATCGACCTGCCTGGCATTGTAGGACCTGCAGGAACATATGTTCCGGCGAGTATAGCTCGGCCGGGTCATCACGATAGGCAAGCTCGATCACCACGTCAAGGTAGCAGCTACGGTCGGGTTACTCAGCAACCAATCAATTGTAATTATTTGAGTTGTACAAATGATAATCAATTTACAACTCAAGTTGCTGCTTATTGATGATATATCAAACTGTCAGACTGAGTAGCATTGGTTTAAATCTGAGTTCCTTTGAGGATTGTTGATACACCATACTAATAAATGCACAAAATCTCAGGAGAACATAGTTTCTTTCAGCTGCTTAAAACTTTTCAATATGAAATATGTTGTTTTAATAATCTATTGTCTGTGAAAGTTGTTTCAGACTGTAAAAATAAATGAATAAAAGGCTAATTGATAAGTAAAATTGAATTATTCAATGTGATTGAATGTGTTAGTTGACCACGATACTGGATTATTGATTCTAATCCTTCGAAATAACTCAATTTTTCAAAGAAAATTCATTTGTCAGAAGAGTATGTCTGCTTTGTTTGAAAATAACATGCTGACATACAAAGGATTAATGCAAAATAAATGTGTTAAGATGTCGAACTATTGGAGGAAATTATTTCTGTAGGTCATCACTGACTTGCAAATAAATTATTAACTAATTTTTTAAGCTCAATTCTTATTCGTTATATCGGCTGTTTTCACTGGAATTGTTTGAATATGATGAAGTCACAAAGTTAAGGTACTAATTAGGATTTGATTACGACCAATTTGGTCTCCTGTGCTTTTATGGGCATGAGGGCGGACGTTACTGCCCGGCTGCCCACACTGTGGAAGTGTTCTGGTTGTCAGAAGAGGTGTCAGCCTCCTGACTTCCGAAGGAACTCGGCTTTCATCATGAGATGTCATAACTGTTCTAAATCAAGACCTTCTAACTTCCAGAGCAGGGTTTATATGGTTTGAATTATTTTTTCTTGTTAGCGTTTTTTTAGCGAGTTAATTTTTTGAGGGTCTCGAACCTGAATCCAGACTTGGGACCGGCAGTGGCCCCCAAGGATCTACAGGCGGATTTTAGGGTACTAATGAGGTCATGGGTAGGATTGTGGAAAAAGATGATAAGTTAATTAATTAAGCTGTGCAAATCTTCATCCATAAAAATGGTTAGGATGTATGTGTGCGTGTGTGTTGTTTTTGCGTGTACACAAAAATCCTGGAATCATATCTTCAGTCGGTCAGTCTATTGCAGTGTAACACTTGATACATACGCAGATAGGTCCAAGTTGCTATACTCCATTAGCATTGAGCGATAAACTTGTCAAACTGAATCCCAGAGTAGTGAAGGTAGTAAAAGTAGTATTGGTAATGGAAAGGATCACAGATCGAAGATATGACTCGAGAAGTATATCCTAGTGAAATAGATAAAAACTGTTTATGAAGAATTCAAGAGCCTAGAAATTTGGGGAAAAATACAGTATGGATACACCTGCGCCATTGTAAATGATTTTGACCTATGTTAGTCAACGTATCTAACCATTGATTACGATTATCACTGGGACTCCAATAAAGTAGTTTACAACTATTAACCTAGATTATTCCAGTGGTAAATGACTTTTAGGACTGGTGCCATGTTTTGGTTTGGCTATTCTTAGCTATCTTCCAGTATACTTTGACATCAGACAACATTCCTTGTCGAGTTAAGCGGTGATTGGGAATGCCTAACACACATATCTTAACCACATCAGTTGGTAAGGATTTACTAATTCATTAATTAATGTGCCATACTTCCCTAGTACCCTTTTCCTAACCCTAGAATAGCTTACTCGGCGGTCCCAGGATATACGAGCAATGCTTTGAAAGCGCCTGTGATCGAATAATAGTAACCTGCAAATATTCTTCATTCTTAGCGACACTGTTTCACATTTGTAAATTAGAACGGACCGAACTGCTGCAAAATTAACTCGTCCTTTGGTTAGCAAACGAATATCTCGACTACGCTGCAAGCGAAAGCCGATCCGTGTTGGGATTTGGTCACACACCAGGCCATCAGCACTGATGAGACTCCCAAAATAAGTAAAGCCGTCAACTTGCTTAACCACTCGACTCCCCACCATTGATTCGGGTGCCGAAACAAGCTAATCCTGAAGTGACATTTTGCATTTGGAGGGGGAAAATCGCATCCTGAACATGCCAACTCTATTGCTTAGGGTTGCCAAAAGATTGCATTTTGTCAGTGTCTTCATTTAACCGAACATTGTCATCTGCACATTAAATGTCAGCAAGTGAATCTTCCGGTTGAAGGTCGACTCTTGAGAAGTTAAACTATGAAAGTGTGTATTTGACATGTATTTGACAAAGGTGAATAAAAATCGGAAAAACATACAACCTTGACAAACTGCTTGCAGTAATCGATTCAAATGATAGATCGCCTTAAACTCTGACTCAACCATTAGGCGTTCAAGTAGAGAGCCTGTACAAGGCTAATGTAAAACAGCAAAGAAGCAACGGCGAGTACCACTTAATGTCCCGTTCAGTCGGACAGCGCACAATCGACTGTTTACTGGAGTCCAGTCTAGGAGAGCTGGCTCTGTTTTTAAAATCAATGCTTTAACTACACCCATGGGGACACATTAGCATTGAAGTCTCCAGATAAATGAAGCGTAAATTGCGACGATTCTTTATTTTGACGAAATCAGGTCAAATGAATGATTGAACTGGAATCGTAGTAGAGTATTAGAACTTGATTGATAGAATTCGATCACTAATACAGTACTAAACAAACATGACAATTGTCCACTACTCAGTAATCAAGCAGTGATACTTAATGCATTGCTCTATGGTTTTTCTAGGCTTCTTCTTTTTATGATTTCAGTTGCATGAAAAATCATTACGTGAATGTTAATACAAGATCTTAATACAATCAATCTGGGTAAAATGGATGGTGCAAATTGTAGTGTACATTTTACCACAAACTGTGTTTTGTTGTGATTGTTATTGTCATCTTAGAAGCACTGCTCGTATATCCTGAGACAATCGAGTAAGCAGTGCAGTTGTTAGCAAAAAAGGTGCTAAGTAAGGATGGTAGATCAATAGGTGAAGTAGTGAAATTATCTCGACGAGCAATGTTTTGTGGTGTAAGGGGTAGTCTGGGTGAAATCTATGGGGCGGCCAAATCAAAACATGTCATCATTACATGAAGTCATTGACAACTGGACTGAGCCATGTTAATAGGTGTATAGTACTTTTATAGGGTCCACGAGGCAATGAATGGTAACCGATTTTTAGAGGTTTTAAAAGACGTGGCACAAAATCGTTTGTGATGGCGTACATGCATCCATTCTTTGTCTTCCTCTCAAATTCTAATCTTCTGAATTCCTCATCACTTTAGATTTGTTTCACTGGATTATACTTGTTAAATAATTTCTTCGAACTTCAATCTTCTCCATTGCTGCGAATACCTCTACTACTACTATAGGATTCGAGTTGATCATGAGATGTGTCTGTGCTAATGTGTTGTATGGCAACTTGAACTGATGTACATGCGTACGAAGTCCTACGTTGCAACCGACTGGATTATTGTTTTTGTCGCTGAAAAAAAATACAAGTTAAAGTTTTCAAAGAATTTATAATACTAAAGTAATTATACTAGTTTGTTTTAATTATACTTAACTAGTGTGTAGTTTTATGACAAATAACACGCACGCGCGCACTCACTCACGTTTGTCTCAATTCTGCATGCAGTTTGTATGCGCATTAATTTATTGTTACTGGAGATCAAAGTATTTCTTAATCATACTATAAAGGCAGAACTGGTCATTCAGATTGTTGGACTTTTATACTTTATAGTATAATGAACTGAGATAATTATTGAAAAAAATAGAGAGCGTTGAATAGTTGTTCCATTTCGGTACGGTACTAGTCAGTAGTGTTGGGGATGTTAAATCTCCAGAACTCAGTTGATAAATAAATGTCCTAATTTTGTATTTTATGCTTTTGCGCATAGGCTGATCAGTCGACCTTGAGATCACATCCCCCACCCGGAAAACCCTTGGATGTTATTGGTGTTGATGTAGTGTATTTTATTAGGCTATTTTTGTGGCTTCACCCAAGGACGTTCCTATCATATGCTTGTCAACCTCATATATATTCTATGTGCTTGTAGAATAAACTTTCTATCTCTGGTCAAGACTTCTTCCTCTACTTAGTTGGGGCCTTGGGATGCTGGGACTAGAGTAGCCTATCGTATCATTGGATCATCTGTGTTCGCTCTCGTTTACCGACTAAGGTGAATTCGTAATATTTTCTTGCATAACAATCGACGAGCCTAACAAATAGTGTGTGTGTGTGTACTCACAAACACATCGGCATTCTAACTTCTCATTCTCACAGGATCATATGGATCATTTCTGGGCATTTAAAAAATTTTCGAAAAAAAGCGAAATCTGTAACCACAATAATAAAAAATAATTTAATACTTCGGTATTTTTGAAACCACTATATATATATATAATTTCGGGGCACAGTTTTGGAGGTTTGTGTTTTTACACATTTGAAATCATCAATCAATCATTGTTAGACCACCAATAATTGATTAATGATATCAAATGTGTAAAAACACAAACCTCCAAAACTGTGCCCCAAAATATCGTAACAGTGCTCACTAGTGACTAGCTTCGTGAGGAAATTCTCGGAGTTCTAGTTGAGAAGACGTGACCAGTGGAGTTCAACCCTGTCGGGTGTAAGCAGTAACTACCAAAGACAAATGGGTGAGGTCGCGCAAAATTCCTAGATCAATCAGAGTTAGACATTAACACCGTTGGATGCCGGCCCAGTGGTCGGATGGTAAGGCGTTCGCCTACAGTGCCAAACGTCCCGGGTTCGAATCCTGCGAGGAGCAGGAGTCGTGGATGCGCACTGCTGAGGAGTCCCATATCAGGACGAAACGGTCGTCCAATGCTTCCAGGTTTTTAATGGTGGTCTAACAATGATTGATTGATGATTTCAAATATATATATCAGTCAGTTAGTTACAACATAGAACTTCGTACATTCGTACGTACATAAGTTTAAGTCGGCTTACCACATTAGCAGAGAGACGTAATTGTCAATTCAAATCGCAAAGTAGTAGAGGTATTAGAAGTATTAGCGATATATATACATATATATCAAAAAAATTACAAATTTTTTTTAGGTGAAAAGTTTACAGTTCCGGTGATATCAGATAATAATTTCTCTGGAAATTATATAATCGAATTGTACAAAATACAACTCGCTAGCTAGCTAGCTATCTATCACGTTCAGTTGTTGACCCTTTATTTTTCGTTTCGATAACCCATAATCTTTATATAATTTACTGATATTTGTGTTGTTAAATATTCGTTTGTTTTTTTTTTGTAAAATTTCTATACTAGCTCTCTTTGTATGGTCTATCAGCATAATTTACAAAACTCCAGTGAAATCAATAAAGATCCTGTTAAAGAATCTACATCCACGGTGGACATGGTACAATCTGATCAAAAAATCAATAATAATAATACTGATACTAATTTTTCATCAGTCAATACTACTACTACTACTCTTGGCAATGATGAGAATAGTAGTAATAATGCTGATAACAATGTTGTTTTAATCAATGGTGATAAGCCAAATCAAACTACCATATCATTTCGTCGACGACCATCTAGTCTACGATTTATATCTCAACATCATGAACAATCATTAGCTGATAGTTGTGTTGTTGGCGGTGCTAACAGCCGATATACAGGAGGAGCAAGACGACGTAATTATCCTGTAGAAATGGATTCTATTGAATTAAGTTGTAGTGCCCCACCGTCTGGTGGTCGTGGTTGTCAATTACATCATACAAATACAACTAATCGATTAGCCAATACCATAGCATGTACACCAGTAGTACCACATGGTAGTTCACAGCATTTATTAGTCAATTTTGAGGTAAATTCCCCCGACCCCCTTCACTTATTTATTTGATTTGTTTAAAAAATGCCTAATAATTGTAAATCATATTTTATAGTGTGTAAATTTCTATCTTCCTTGTTATTGATTGTATATAGACCCTGTAGTTGGCTAATGTACACATCCTCTGCTGATTGCCTCGGTGATATCACCAAGGCATAAACCGTTCAACCGAAATTGCATGGTATCTAGTCATGAAATCCACGAGGCGTGTTTCGTCCTCTCTGGTACTCTTCAGATATATATGTATATATATACACCTAAACTCCAGTATTTGTGTTCATTCATACACGGTGCACAAACCTAGTACCTTTCGTTTCAAACACCCAACGCGTTATCTAATTAGCTTTTGAGTTCAATTAGCCGTGTTGCTTGTGCAACGAAGGTGAATTCTAATCTTCATATTTGTAAATTTGCAGATTATTGATAATTGACAAGTCACTTTTTCGGCATGCTGTTCATGCTGTTTTGGACATCAAGGTACACAGTTTATTAACAAAATTCAAATTCTCATTTACAAAACAAGCAGTGTGCAAAAGACACTTTGATTGCGCTGTGCATTTCTATCTGAAATTCGTCTTTACAGTAGTAACTTCCAGGAAAAACACCTTTGCATACTACTTAGAACCCACAATGTGAGTAGTATCCACCACAGTTATGGTAATCTAAACTATCAAAGCTACATGCGGGTTGTTTTAGCTTTTTACTTATAATGAATGTTCTTCATTATTTTCGTCAATGTTCATCCCTTATTTTGATTTAACAATACACGCATGCATAAAAATAAATGCACAAAACACGTGATGATGATTGCAATTTATCTTGTCGAAAAATATTTTGAACATCAATGCAACATGTTGATTTTGTTTGCAAAAATAGTAACCTAAAATTATTATGTTCACCAAAAGATTTTTGAAGGTCCCAGACTTAATAATCTCAAATTTAAGTAATGAGTGACCACTAATCAATTGAGACAAGCAAAATGATCTTGTACTTTGTGGTTTTCAATGGGGTTTTACTTGTTTACTTACACCTGTTACCCTTAATGGAGCATAGGCCGTCGATCAGCAAATTATTTTTTTCAGGCTGGCGTTTTTCAGCGGGTTGGATTTCGACGGGATGGGGTCGCTAACCTGATGGGCAACCCTTCTCGGTTGTCCGCGTTTGGGACCGGCTCCAGACGGAGTTAGTGATATTATTTTATTATAATATTAAATTGCCGCTCTTATACTCACATCTGTTTATGCTCCTATTAAAGCAAATCGTTGTAGTGTCTTAACAAAATGAGAAATCTCTCTGAAATCCAATGGTTTTGGAGAGAAAGTCAGATAAAGACTAAAACTAATTGATTGAAAACAACACTAGCATATTATGTCATCAAAATTTCTAATTTCAACCATGTTAACAAGGGCACAAGCTTTCTGGTGGTTGGGGTACAAAGTCTTGACCTAGTAGTTAACATGTTCAACTTTCAACCACGTAGTCCCAGGTTTAAAATTCTTTCTACTTTACTTGTGTTTGGATAATCGAGTTAGTCATTAACCGTCTCAATTCAAGCCTAGTTCATACCTAAGTAACCTAATGAGTGATTGAGTTTTAATTTAAATTTAAATTTCCGGTTTGATGTTCATAAAATGACTACAATCTAATATCTCGAACCCACAAGGCTCTTGTATCAAGCCTTCAGACAAATGAACTAATTCATTCTATTTTCTGACCTTGTCAACTATTCGCTTTTATCGTGGTTGTTTGTTTCTATTCCGGTATGTACGTACACCGTTTGCATCGCCTATCACATGTCTCTAGCTTGTTTTCGTCGGACTATAAATATTTATGCAGTGTCTGACCATCACATGTGGTTGGTTGGCTCACTCTCCATCTCCGCCACCTCACGTATTATACACGATTCCCACTATTATTCTTTGTCTATTTGTTATCCACATGTCTGTCTGCGTGAATGGTTGCATTAAATAAAATAAATCTAACTGAATGTATATTTGGTTTGTTATTTATTACCGCCGTCGCACCAAACGGAGTTCGCCTAAAGATTGAAGGGAAGATTTATTTGATACCATATCTAACTGTTAATAAATATCAAAAATAGATCGCAGGCCAAAAAAATACTCATGAGCCCTAATTTGAATTCAACGCAACCACTAAAAAGTGGTAATCCTGATGCCTAATCTATTATAACGCACAACCAACTAAAGTTGTAAGCCCTACAGGATTTGGTTCCACATCTTTCTTTGAAATTTTAAACATCCTGTTATTTTATTATTTGATGATGAGATTATTATTTATTTATTTGAACATTTCACTGTGTTTTTCGTAGTCTGCACACACTAACTTTGGCATGATTATGAGACTCCGTCTTCTTCTGTGTTGTTTTCTGTTGATAAGTCTGGGGTTATTTATAAAGAAGCATCATTGATATTATCTTTTACACTAGAAAAAAACTCACATTAATTAATTTAACAATCGTATTAAAAATAAAATCACTGTCAAACGCTGAAATTGTAAAATGATTACAATAAAGTGTGAAATGACGACTTTGTTACTGTGTTAGTATGTTTGTCATTGTTTATATTTTGACTGAAATGGAACACAGTTAAATTGTTTTGGTTTGTTTCGTTTCGTTTCATTTCGGTACGTGTTGTTTATTGTGTCTTGTCTTGTCTTGTCTTGTTCCATGCCTATCATATGATTTACATGATGGGTTTTTTTTAAGAAAGAATATTAGTCCGCTTACGCCTGTTATCCCTAATAGAGAGCATAGTCCATCGATGGGCAAGTTATCTTTTCTGGCTAGCGTTTTCTTTTAGCGGGTTGGACATTTATGGTATGGGGTCACTAAACGTCTTAGGCCCAACCCTCCTCCTTTATCCGGGTTTGGGATCAGCAGTAACCTCAAAAGAGATCAAGGCTGTAGCCGATGCCTTGATGTGATAATCATGCTTCAACATTACAATGACTTAATGGAACTGGAATACACCCATTTAGGTCAGTTGTAGTGATTATGTAGTGAAGGAGAACACAGGTGAGGGCAACCGAATTGTATTTAACGAAAATTACAGAGTTACTCAGTAAAATAGGAAAACTATATCGTAAATCGTTAATTTGCAAATCTTCAATCCATTGTCTGACATTTCACTATTCATGCGTTGTTTCATACGAATTCCATTGTATTCCCACTCTTCCTTTCTTGTTGATCTTCTGCTGCCAGACATTACGTTTTTACTCGCGTCATATACTACTTATAAGTAGCGTGCACCACAATTAGACTATCAGCAACAACTGAAGTTTCCATGGAAAAGTTGTATTGCTGATTGTACATTAGTATGACAGCAGTAATGTGTTTCCCTCAGACAACTAACATCTATGACGATGTTGCCACCACCCCCCCCCCACATAACAGAATGAAAGGGTTAATAGTGCCTGATCATAAAAATAACTCATCTCTCATTGTCCCACAGATTTCCACCGCCGGTGGTAAGTTCTGAAAGAGAGGGAGATGATAATGCATTAAGAAATTTTCTAAAAAAAACTATATAGCCTTCTTTTAAGCACGATGGTTAAGGTTTTTCGCTTTATTAGATTACAAGGATATTTTTGACCTCTTACTTTCCTCCACCTGTTCATTGCTTTCCTAACTCTCGTTCGCTCTAAAGTCTTTCATCCTAGATCTTATGTACGGTTTAAATGACCAATTTAATTAAATTAACAAAGTTTTTGGTGGTTTACAAGTTAAGACTTCTAACTAATCTGAATTCAGGTTCGAACTTCTTCGTCTACTTTGGTTTTAACTGCCAAGTATTACTGTAGTGAACGAGAACACAGGTGGGGCAGCCGGATTGTATTTGACGAAAATTACAGAGTTACTCAGTAAAATCGGAACACCATATCGTAAATCGTTCATTTGCAAAATATCAGTCCATCATATCGAACTGGACTGTTCCTGTTGCAAACAACATCAATCCATTGTCACTATTCATGCGTTTCATACAAATTTCATTGTGTTCTATTTCTTCCTTTCTTGATCTTCCCCCATCTTCTGCTGCCAGACATTACGTTGACACTCACGTCATATACTACTTATAAGTAGCTCACACCACATTACTATCCTTTAGAAAAACCACTACTATATACGTAAGCTAGAATAACACTAAGTGAGCAAACAGTCAAATCAATTTATCACTTCAGTTTAGTCAATGAAGTTATTGAATTAAACTGTGTTAGACGCATGCACAAACTACATTTTTGACTGGTATGTATGTGTAATGATTACTGTGACCAATGATTTGAAAATATTAGATCACATGATATAGAACTGATCACAGCGCAGTAGAGTTGCATTTACTCTCTTTCTACCTCTAAACATTTTGAATTTAGTATTTCTTCTCAAATCATACTTGTCTAGGTTTAATCTTTTTTTTTCATAAAATGTGACAGTGGTCTTTGTAATTTCAGCTTACTGTGTGTATGTTAGTTTCCATAAGCTAAACTAACTAACTGACACCAAAAATCTGATTGCATAAACTTATATTAATTGACATGTCAAAATGTATTGATTTTTTTTCGAATAACACTCATATAGAGTTATCCAATTAATTAATGATTCAATAACTTTTTGTTTTGAACATCAAATTAAATCTTAGTTATCTTTCTTGTAATACAATTGTGATCATTTTTGGCAACGTTTTTTTTAAGCGAGTTAGTTATTTTGCCGGACGGGATCGTCAATCCCAATCCCTACCCTCTTCCATTATCCGGGTTTGGGACCGGAAGTAGCCCCGAACAGTCTACAGGCGAAAATCCATGAAGTCACTGACACGTGAACTGAGTCATGTTGGTAGGTGTCGACTACCTGGTTGGGATCCTCGAGACGATGGCACCTAACGGTTTGGGACTTTGAGAGACATGGCTCAAAATCGTTTGCAATGGCGTAGATGCATTCATTCATTGTGTTGTCTCAAATCTTA